TATTTTTTTTTCAAAATGTATAATAAAAAACCCATGGATGATCAAATAGCATTGAAAAAAAGCTCTATTTGTGTGAAAAAAAATTATATAAATTTAATTTGGGTACAGCGTTGCATGACTGTGAAATTGTCAGTTAAAGTAGCACAGTGCTATATAGCAAAAAATGGCCTGGTCAGGTAGTGGGTAAAATCTTCCAGAGGGAAAGTGGTTAATACTACTTTAATATAAGATCCAACTAAATATCCCACTCTTGTCAGTTTTGGAGCTTGTTGTGAACAACAGCTCCTCAAAACAGGAGGAGGGTTTTCCTGGGGTTAACAGTAAGATGTTTGTAGGCAATTTCCCAAAATTGCTCCAAGGATTTGCACTCGTACTGTATGTTGCAGCTATATACTGTATAGCCAGTAAAACATTGGCAAGTCTCAGGGAGCAGATGACTTGGACACATATACCACTTTTTCACGCTCTGAAACATTCTTTCTGGTGCCATGTATGCTGTGGAATGTTGTTAGGTGTATGCTATAGAAGAAAAATATTTTGTTAGGTAGGATATACTCAGGCTGATATCACCCAGTAGTCTGCACTGATGATGGCAGCATAAAGGAAGCCCGAATTTTTAAATAATCTTCATAGATGTTCACAAGACTGTCTTTAAGGCTGCAGGCTTAAATGTATGCCTGAAGGATAAATATTAAATAAGATGGAGGTACCCACCCGCGATTTCATCCACATCTTTTGAACCTGTCCTGATATTGTTCCCTACTGGAAGCCGGTAGTTTTTATCAATCAAGCAGTTTATGACATTACTTTCTCTCCCTCCTTGCGGATATGTATGCTGAGTCTGGTTGAAGCTCTAGCTCCAATGGTGGCTGAGAGGATACTACTGGGGCTCTTGCAGTTTTATGCTAAAAAGACCATCACCCTCACTTGGAAAAAGCCTACCCCCCAGCGATCACTTTTGGCAACTTGTTAACACCGCCCTGCCACTGTACAAAGACACTTATTGTCAAAGGGGCTGCCCTAAAAAAATTTGAAAAGGTATGGTCCAAGTGGCTTCAGGATCACTCCACTGCTAGTATGTAGGTTGTTCATACTTGATTGCTAATGCTTATGAGGTCCTGTCTGTGATGTGGAGAGGTAGATAGTAATACCCCTTCGGTCCTTGCCGGCGGTATTTTCTTATGACCTATCACTTTATACCATTAAAATGGGATGCACACAAGTAAACAGGGGTGGCTTGTTTCTGTCCATTGTTTGGACCTTGCCTGTCTTTCTTCTGTCCTACTTGAACTTGCTGAGGTAGGCTTTGTGATCTACCAAGTTTAACCTCTGCGAGGGCATCTATATCTCTGTTAATTTGAGAACTGGAGTTTACTGGAGTAAAAAGTATTGAAATTTGTGACTGCAAACTCTAATAGTCATCTTAAAAACTGCATGTGTCCTAACTAGATGCAGTACTCACAGTCAAAGGCTACAGAGTATAGGATTGATTTACAAAAACTGAAAAATCAGATGCAGCTCTGCATAAAAAACCAAGCAGCTTCCAGTTTTGTTTTTTTTTTTTGTCAAAGTTAAAAGCTGTTTAGCTACCATGCACAGTTGCACCACATTTTGCACTCTCCAGTTTTAGTAAATCAACCCCTATAAAAGGACATGTATGTGGGCAACAGAAAATACATTGCTGCTGCTATGATACATAGCAGTAACAGCCAACATTGTATTTGCCATTATTCAAAGTAAGCATGTGCCTATAGGTAGCAGAGGCAAAAATAATTAGTTGATTGTTGCAATATTTTAAGCCAGACTAGGACCAGTAAAGCTAGCGTCACGCCAATGCCTTGCAGCAGTGCACTTTACATGTGTTGGTGTGTTGAGATGCTATTCATTTTGAATGTCACCCAAACACACCTTCACAATGCACCTACAACTAACCACAAAGCATGGCACTACTGTAGTACACTGCATCAGGAAAAAAAGGTGAAGGTACTTTTTTTGGTTGTTCTAGGGCACTGGCAGCCCATTCAAATGACTGGGCTGCCTTAACTCAACACACATTAATACACAACATAAATATAGTTTTAAAGTTGCTCTTATTTTATGATAACCTGGGTTACAAACTTAGCATACAGAATAAAACATATTATTATATTTTAAAGCAAAGTAAAGTTAAGACCACTTGTAGTGTGTTCTACAGAATATATTAATAACCACCCACCAGTGATAGTTTTGAAATATATCCATGCAGTCTGGGTTTGCCAAACAACCTGTTAATAATTTACAAAAATCCTGTTTTACTTTTAGAAAAAATTAAACTGTATCTGTAAACCTAATTTATAGACAAGGAGAAAAACAAAGTGTTGAGCAATGACCAGAGAAAAACAGGGATGAGACAACAAATGGGGGTAGAGACGTGTATTATGAAACATTCTTATTAAGCAGCAAACAAAATGAATTCGATTACAGACATACTGTTGCACTAAAAAGAGATCCTTTAATTCATGGGGCATGCTACTTTGTTTCCTAAAGCGTCTATTAATTTTATAAATTCTCCAAATAAGGAAAGAAAAAAAAACACTTTAATGCAATAACAGAGGAGCTCAGTAAACCGTTTATTGTATACTACATCTTGCTTAGCTGGCTAATAAAACTCGTAAAATCCTGCAGCGTGAGTTGGGTCTAAATAAATCTCTGTGATTCAGCTTTATGGCTTGACACATCTTCCTTACTCTTTTGCTTTTTCACCTTTTAATAAACATAAAGCTAATATGCAAGAGATAGTAAAAGTCAGATTAATTAAATAAAAAAGCCATTGTGAACATACTTTTAATCTAGGCACCACTGCGATTATCCAACTGGCCTGCTCACAGGCTGAGGTTTGTGCTTGACAATAAATTCCCAAGAGAAATTCATGGAAACATCTGCTTTTTAACACCTACCAAACACAAACAGTTGTATTGTTTATGGCTTAGCAGGTAAACTCATAAAACGATCACTTTCTGTGCTGCATGTTTTAATCCTTCATGATTTCAAGAAAAATGTTAAAGATACGTCTTAATCCTCATTTTTCACTGACGTATATGTACATGTCATATGATTTTGGTAATTAATGAAGCCTATTATTAAAACAGTCACATGTTAAAGCAGATCTTGATTACCGCATGTCCATGACATGTTGCCTTCCACCCACCCCTCCTGCACTCTGCTGCACAAATTGGGCATTCTTTTTTCCTTTATTTACATTTTTTTTAATAAACGTTTGTCCCACACCTCCCATCCCACTTCCCCCATGCACATCGCACATCACACATCCAGGCAAATCACATATCCCAGGAGGCATAGTCCTTCACTAGGAAAGGAGGAGGAAAGAGGGGCCAGGAGGCAAGTCATTGGGAAGCTTACTGGCATCTTACCCATGACATCACAGAAGAAGATGGCAGCATGGGACCGAGGAGGGACAGAAAAGTAGCACATCTCAGCAGGACAATTCTGGATCCACTGGGTGGGTGAATACCTTAAATTTGCAGAACCTGCAAACAGGTAAGTAGGGGTTGAAAGAAAAGGAGGGGAGGTAGTATGAAGATCTGCTTTAAGAATCTTGACTCACCAATAGTCGTTATACTTCACCCCCACTTTGATCATATTTGGAAACAGAACTCCCACTTTTAGCAAAGCTAATGTCTATCGGAACACCACTGACTGTCTAAATCACTGCTTTGTGCTATTAAAAAAACAAAAAACAAAAATAACACCAAGAAGGCTTGGGGATATCTAATAATGCTCACTATTATCACTCAACCCAACTGTGGCACCTTGATTCATGGGTCGCATTTCTTTTTTTCAATAAATGGACAGAGATCAAAAAGTTGGTGAAAGCACGGATCCATGCTATGGAGGGCCTCATTATTACTATTAGACAAAGACCTCCCCACACCAATGATTTTTACCAGCAATGTTTGGAGGTACTGCAAACTGAATTACAGATTAACATCTTTTGCTTCTCTAATGACTTTCTTGTACAACCCTGCTAATTCTTGATAACCCTACCATAGTCATGAAACAATGGCCCTATGTCAAATTGGCCATTTCATTTCACCAATAAATCTAACTATTTAATATTTCTCTAAAGTTGAACACAAATACAACATCCTTACAACCTTTTTCTTTAGCTATATACAAATCAGACAGTATGCAAAAAATACTTACTAAAACACTAATTCACACTCCATTTACCTTTACTGAAAAGATCTGCAAACAAGGGACCTCTGCAAAATTGATGGTTTTTAAGACAAACAATATACTAAATGGTATAGGCCTTACTGGCTCCTCCATATACAATATATGAGGAAATAGAATATTATGGGGAGAGAGCTGCCACTGGAAACCTGAAGAATAATTTACGATAGTGCCAACAAAAGCTCATTTGGTACTACTTACAGAGCAGAGAGAACAGCTTAATGATCCTCTATTACTGATGGCACACTCCCTGACAAAGTTAAGCCATATTTTATTCAGATACTTCTGACAGATGCTGGTATAATATAAAACACAAAAATGAACTCTGGTGCATGTTTAATGGCTGTCTGACAACAGATCAATTAACTATTAACCACAAGCCTACAGGGCACTTATATCCCCTTCCTGCCCAGGCCAATTTCCAGCTTTCAGCGCTGTTGCACTTTGAATGACAATTCCGCAGTCATGCAACACTGTACCCATATGAAATTTCTATAATTTTTTTGTGACAGATAGAGCTTTATTTTTGTGGTATTTAATCGCCTCTGGGGTTTTTTATTTTTTCTTAAACAAACCAAAAACCACTGAAAATCTTTTTTAAAAAAATGTTTTTTCTTAGTTTTTGTTATAAAATTTTGTAAATAAGTGATTTTTCTCCTTCACTGATGTGCACTAATGAGGCTGCACTGATGGGCACTGATAGGCTGCACTGATTGACACTGATAGGTGGCACTGATGGGCACTGATGAGGAGGCACTGGTAGGTTGCACTGATGGGCATTGACAGGCATCACTAATGGGCACTGAAAGGCAGCACTTATATATGGCACTGATAGGTGGCACTGACTGGCACTGATAGGCGGCACTGATGCACACTGATAGCACTGACTGGCACTCATAGGCGGCACGGCACTGATAGGTGGCACTGATTAGGGCACTGATTGGCACTGACTGACAGGCACTGATGGGTGACACTGAAAGGAAGCTTAGATGGGCATTGATATGTGGCATTGATGTGGCACTGATGGGCACTGGCAGGTGGCATGGATGAGCACAGAGAGCTGGCACTGATGGACACTGACAGGTGGCGCTGCTGGGGCTACAGAGCTCATCAGGGCACACTGATCATCAGTGCTCTGATGATCTGTGTACATATCCCCTCTGAGGAATGCCGATTACCGGCTCTCCTCTCCTCATGAGCTGTCAGCGTGACCACTCGTGGGTAGAGAAATGCCAACAACCGGCATTTCCCTGTTTACATGTGATCAGCTGTGATTGGACACAGCTGATCACATGACCAAGCCGACATCTTTGGCTCTTTCCGTGGATCGCTGATCCGTTGCGCGGTTAGAATGGGAGGACGTCATATGACATCCTCCCAGAACGAGAGAACTGCCTCGTGCCTGTCATTTTACTATATGGCAGGCGTGAGGTAGTTAAGATAATTAAGAAAAACATAACCATTAACCTATTTAAATATCTACTAAGTTATCCAGTTAGTGGCTTCTCTCCTCCACTTAGGAAACTGCTCTCACATTGTATAAAAGAGGTGTGCTTAACAGTTCTCCCTACAGTGAGACTTCGTAATACTGGGACAATTTGTCTTTGGAAATCCTGGGATGCTCTGTTTCTACCCCACCCCCTCCATAAACTCCAGACAATTCTTAAGGTCAGGTAGGGCTCTTTATACCCCACCCTGCCATGCCCCCATCTTAATTCTCACACACTATTTTTTCCCCTTCCTTCATTCCTTTTCTTTCTTTACTAATCCTTTCTATTATTTTCATGTTTGCTTCCTCAACCACTCACCCTCTAGAAGATTTACCCCCCTTCCTGACCAGGCCATTTTTTGCAATAGAGCACTGCGTTACTTTAACTGCAATGCAATGCTGAACCCAAATTAAATTTATGTCCTTTTTTCCCCACAAATAAAGCTTTCTTTTGGTGGTATTTGATCACCTCTGCGGGTTTTTTTTGGTGCTATAAACATAAAAAGACAATTTTGAAAAAAAAAAAAATTTTATTTTCTGCTATAATACACATCCAATAAAAATCCATAAATGTAGACCAAAATGTATTCTGCTACATACTTTTGGTAAAAAAAATCCCAATAAGTGCATATTGATTAGTTTGCGCAAACGTTATAGAGTCTACAATCTTTGCTACATATACTGGAATTGTTTTATTTTTTTTCACACTAGTAATGGCGGTAACCTGTAACTTATAGCGGGACTGTAATATTTGACATTTTTTACACTAACTGACACCAACTACCACTTTGTGAGAACCAGTGACACGAATACAGTGATCAGTGCTAAAAATATGCACTTACACTGTACTAATGACACTGGCTGGGAAGGGGTTAACATCTAGGGCAGGGGTCTGCAACCTTTAAGACATAAAGAGCCACTTGGACCCGTTTCCGAGAGGGAAAAAAAGACTGGGAGCCGCAAAACCATTGCAACATTTAAAACAAATCCGACACTGCATATATTGCAAAAAGCGCTCTGGTCATGAAGGGGGTTTAAGGGCCCAGTAAGCAAAGGGTTAATCAGGGCCACAGTGTATCGTCATAATCACAATCATAGCCTTAGGTCAGTGGTGGGCAACCTTTTTTTTCAACTGAGCCAAATCTCGCCAAAACCACGATTGAAATTTATTTTGAGAGAAACATTTTTAAAACTGAAAATACATCCCCCATATAGTAATTCATCCCCCATATAGTAATTCATCCCCCATAGTAATTCATCCCCCATATAGTAAATCATCCCCCATAGTAATTCATCCCCCATATAGTAATTCATCCCCCCTATAGTAATTCATCCCCCATAGTAATTCATCCCCCATATAGTAATTCATCCCTATAGTAATTCATCCCCCCTATAGTAATTCATCCCCCATATAGTAATTCATCCCCCATATAGTAATTCATCCCCCATAGTAATTCATCCCCCATATAGTAATTCATCCCCCATATAGTAATTCATCCCCCATATAATAATTCATCCCCCATAGTAATTCATCCCCCATAGTAATTCATCCCCCATAGTAGTTCATTCCCCATATTGTGTCAATTCACTTACCTTTGCTCCGCGCGTTCCTCTCGCCGTGTTCCCGCGCCGTTCTGGTCTTCAGGGCGGACTGTGAGAGGAGAGGAGTTCGTCACGCTGCCCCGCCTACATCCTGACAGCCAATGTTTGCCAGCGGGCGCCCGGCACACAGAAGAGCTGCATTAAAAGAGCCGCGGCTTGCCGACCCTATTGCCTGTCACCTGGTGGGCAGTGTGCTCCGGAGCCGCAGGAAAGGTGAAAAAGAGCCGCATGCCGCTCCGGAGCCGCGGGTTGCCGACACCCGATCTAGGGGTGATCAGAGGGCTAAATGTGTGTCTAGCTATGTGCTTGGTGTACACTAGGTGGTGCTTTTACTATGGGAAGTGATGAATCGTGTTCTCAGCTCTACAGAGAGTAATGATTCATGACTTTCTGCTGTCCCGACAGTGCTATGGCTATATAAACATAGCCATAGCTCTATTCTTGCTTCTTGACTATCTGCAGGTGCTGACGAGCAACTGCTCGCCGGGGCTTGCACACCGTTTTGTGCTGTGACAGTTCATAGCTGAAGATCTCCGGGTGGTGCACGCATGCCCTCTTTGTGGTGGAAGTGCAAAATGACTTTTTCTACGTGATTTTGCACAGGAATGCTGCCCTGTAGCAGTAGTAAAAACTCTTATAGGGTGGATGGAAAGTGGTTAACCTACAATGTAACCATTTGGTTCAACATTTCCACACTTTCTGCAGCTAAATAGAGAGAAGACAAATAATACTCCACAACCCATGAACCTTTTCATGCCTATATTTCTATCTAGTCTGCACTTTATACAAATATATCTTTGCTGCAAGGACTTATTTCTTCTATTGTAGGTTCATTATGCTCTAAAGCTACTGGAAGGTGATGTTCTATACTACACTTTGTATGTTGCACGGTCTATGTGTCAAAACCTTAAAATGGTATTAAACCCAAAAACAAAAATGTAACATACTGCACCTTGCTAATCCTTAGATATGGTAGCTATATTAGTTTTCTTTTTTTTAGGCTTATTTCTTTATTTAACCTGGTGATCCAGCCAGTAACACCCTTCCTGTTTTAGGGTGTCCGTATTCTGGATGAAGAAGTATAGCAGACACCTTTGGACAGCAACACGGTCAGTCTAGGGCAGGGATGTCAAACTGGCGGCCCTGCAGCTGTTGCGAAACTACAAGTCCCATCATACCTCTGCCTTTGGGAGTCATGCTTGTATCTGTCAATCTTGCAATGCCTCATGGGACTTGTAGTTTGGCAACAGCTGGAGGGCCGTCAGTTTGACACCCGTGGTCTAGGGGAGAGAGTAGTGCTAGTCAAATCCATCTAAATCTCCTAGTCTAACAAATTGAAGGTGAACTCCAGCTAACACTTTATAAGCAATTACAGCAGTTATTTTTTTTTTTGGATAAAGGTTTTAAATGAATAAAAATTAACCACTGTAAACACTCCTGTCAGTGTTAAATGGTTTGTGTAAACCCTCTAAAACAGCCCATAGATGAGTCACTTTTTTATTCAACCAGTGGGTTGAATTAAAAAGTGACTTGATTTCCCCCATCTACACACTCAATATGGATGGGAGAATCCTCCCCTCTGAACTACTTTATTCTGACAGTGGAGAGACTTCCCCCACCATCAGAATACACTGATCAACATTGCCGGCTATAGCTGGCGGTGCTGATTGAGCTGGGAAAATCCAAAAGGGCGGTTATGCAGAAGTCAATCAGTAGATCGACTTCTGTACAACCTCTCTGCCTGTACATGGATCAAGATTCGGCCAGAAGTTTGATCCATGTATGGCTGGCTTAACTGCTATTTTGTCTGTACAGCTTCAACTGTTAAAGTAAGTTGAAAAATAACAGACTTACTTGCCAAATCACCAGGTTAAAAACATTAATAAATGTTTATTTTCGGCTTTAAATAAACAGTTAAAAATGTACCTGTAGCAACCAATAATATTCCTGGTGTTTTGTTGTGGTGTTGTACACTACATATTCAAATCTGACAACCCAATGACATTGGCTAAATGTTAATTTTACCCTTCTGCCAAACGTTTATTTTCAGTATTAGCTTTTCTTTTCTTAGTATAAGTGTACTTTTCTCTTCTGGCAGACTATGCACAGTAAAAAGAACTAACATTCTAGATAGTGCTAAATCAAACAGAGAGCGTACATACATGCAAATAGTTGTTCTAGGCCAAATAATATGTATCTTAGCTTCTAGTAGGTACATTTTATAAGCCCTATAAAATCAATATAACATTTAAGACTGACAGTAAAAACATTTTAAAGAAAAGAAGAAAAGGGTATTTAAATTTCTTTCAAAAGCAAAGAGGTTAGCTGACCTTTTTATAGAATAGCAGTTATTGTCAGCTTGTCCAAACTCAGCCATCCAGATCTCGCTAGATTTTAGCAACAACTATATTATTTTAAGTGTCTGTTTTTAGGCTTGACAAGTACTGTAAAAAAAAAAAAAAGATGTTGACACTTCAGTTTATGCCCTAGTTGTCTGTCCAGTGAGACAAACTCCTACACATACAGAAATCAGAGCTCAAACAAGTTTTTATGTATTAAAACTGATGCTTCCTAATAGTCAATGGGCATTTTTAAAAGTTTAAAAAAAGTTTTTAGACAAAGACACTGTAGGCTATGGATTATGCACTACAGATTACAGACTCAACTGAATATGTGTTTGAAGGATAAGTTCACCTTTGGGAACATGTAACATATTCCCAATCCTGCAGCCACCACCCGCTGCCCCCCCTCTCCCTATGACAAAAGTATGGGAAAAAATTTCCCCGTGCTAGTTCTCAAACAGCGTGACCGTGCGGGGCTCTGCCCACACAGCCGTGTCATTCATTCAAAGTCCTCTGTGAATGAATGGACAAAAGCAAGGGTCAAAATTTCAAGTCCTTAGCTACTAGCCAGGTCTTAAGAGTTACTCACCATCAGTTGCCCCACCCAACCCCTAACCTTCCCCGCCCCTAATTTTGCCCCTAAACATGCCCTCATAAATTATCTCATGAAATGAGACTGTGAAATGTTTTATGCAGAATAAATATTAACAACATATTTAATAATATTATTAAATCAATGTAAACACCTCCTCCATCCCATGTCTTTCTCCTTCTTCAGTCCCATCTCCCCCATCCCATGTCCTCCACTACCAGTCCCCTTTACCATCAGAGTCCCCCTGTACCATCAGAGTCTCCCATTTACCATCAGAGCCCCCCTATACCATCAGAGTCCCCTTTAACATCAGAGTCCCCACTTA